AGGTAGTCAATGAGCTAAAATCAGTAGAGGGCAAGCTCAAGAAGACCGATAGTTTATCAGCTAACAAGAAGAGTTCCCAACTTCAATGTGGCAGAAGGCCTGAATTGAGTCAAAAGCCAAAAAAATCTGCAACATGCAAAAATTATAACAATTCTCAACGCCCGCCATTGCATTCAAGCACATATTTAGCTCAAGCTTCAGCCAAGTCATTTCCATGCAACACCTTAACAAAAAAAAGGATCAAAACCACCATGAAAGAGACCACTCAGCTGAAGTCTAAGAACCAAAGAAGCAAGGTGGAAGAGTTGCCAGCGAAATCTTTGCTAGAGTTGGAAGCCACCTTTTTTTATGAAGTTTTCATGGAGGATGCGACAATTGAAAAACTTGTTGGTCTGAATGAGTTTGACAGCCATGAATGGGAAAACTTCAAATTACGTGAGGATTGCATTATCGAGGCAATGAAGAAAGAGGAGAGGTCCCAGTTAGGCAGAGAGACATTTTTCCTCCAATTATTTGGAAAAACCTTATAACTAGTAATTATAAAAACTTTGCTCTAGAGCTGATTTCTTGTACACAAGTAATTAGAATAGGCCATGTTTGTTCTTTAAGGATCCAGCTTTCTTGTACATTAGTAATTAGAATAGGCCATGTTTGTTCTTTAAGGATACCTGTTAGAAAGAGAAAAGTTCTTTGACAGAGTAGAGAGACTCGTATCTTCAAATGTTTTCAATGGAGCAAGCTTATAGGATAGAATAGCTAATGAGCGTGCTGTGTTGGATTCTGAGATCAACCAGCCAGCTGCGGCACTAACTTTAAAAGATTCGAAGGCTAATGTTAGCTTCTGTGATCCAATTAGTTTGTTGATTGATATATGTTTTTGTCCCAATGTGCCACTTTTTAGTTCAGAAGCTGTAAACATGTGATGAAAGCCTTAAAGAAAAGAAATAGAAGTTTTTTTTTCGGTAAATGAATTTTGTAATGTGGCTAGTTTGCCAGTGATGGCGATGAAAGCCTTAAAGAAAAGAAATAGGAGTTTTTTTTTTTTTAAATGAATTTTGTAATGTGGCTGGCTAGTTTGCCAGTGATGGTTATGTATACTTGTAGATTTGTTATGTCATAAACAAAATATAATGCTTATCATGAAAAATTTATAAATGTAGTTGCTGCCATGCCCTTATTTATCTGTTTAAATGCATCCTGTTGCATGCTAAAAATACTATGGTGGAGAAAGTCTTATGTTTAAGTTTTGTGTGAGGATTTTACAAACATGTAAAAGAGGTTTTAATGGAGATATCAGAGTTTTTATGTGAAAAGTTTGGGAAGGGAAAAATTATGGTGGTAGTTGAAATAATCCACTATATAATTCCAATTACAGTAGTTGGGATTAAAAAATGTTAGATATATGCTTAGTATCTTCTGACTGTTGTGAGAATATTAATTAGAGATATAGTGAAGACTAGTGATGATGATTAGAAAATAGAGCAATAATGGTTGGTTGATAGTGGTTATATGACTAATGAGTTGTCGCAGTTGTGCTATGTCAATGAAGCAATCATGGTCGATTCATGGTTTTCAAAGGAGGGTTGTGTTTGACGGAGTGCACTATATTTTCCATGATTGTTAAGAAAAAAATTTGATGTTTGAACCCAATAAAGTTACTAGAAAATAATATTGAAAATTTTATTGTCACACAAATTTTTAAATTTTATTAAACTTATCAAATACGATTTTAAAAATATTATATTATTTTGAAAGATAAAAATATTATTTTATAATAGATTCAACCACAAAATAAAGATAAAGAAATAGTGTCTATGTGATCCAGGGATTTTTCTCCTATGCCATTTAGGCAAGATATGGTCTAGTTTATTGTAGGGTGCATATTTTCACTAAAAGATAAACTCTTATAATTAATTTATTTTAGAACAGTTCTTTTCAAACACAAAATTAAATAAAGAAGTGTTAGATATTGAAGAGCTTAGTAATACTCTAAACTTTCTTTTAGGTTTTAAAATTTAAATTTGATTTCTATTTTAATTCTTTGTTCTATTAAAAATTTGAGATTTATGTTATTATCACACAAGAGTAAAGAAAGATCCAAGAGATAAGGATTTATGATATAGCAAAGAGAAATCATGTATCTCAAATTCTAAACTAAGATGAGAACTAATGTCAAAGTGGAATATCAAATTTAAGTCTAATGATATTCCAAAAAACTTCTAGTTTCATTTCTACATAGAATTGAAATAAAACTAGACTCCATTAAATTTATAGTTCTACCGAAAAAGAATAATCAATTAAACCCACATAATTATTTTCAAATCATATAGTTTGGCTTAATGAATCAAGCTAAGGAAGACAAATATTTTATTTAGGAGACATGGCTTGCAAATTGACCACTAGAATCAAGTTGCTTGATTGTGTCTGGTGTGCAATGCTTTTAGCTAACATAATAACTCACAATTTCTATTGTTTTTTCTTAAGAAAAAAAATTTACGTGATTGAATTTTAAAGTGTAACTAAGGCAAACTTTTGATACAACAATCTCTGAGAAGTGCCTCACATCCTTATATATCGGGTTAACCTTGAATACATAATGGCAGAAGAGCATGAAAATAAGGCAGATAAGCAATATGAATGCAAATGATTAATTTCTCTAGGCTTTTGAATTAATTTTATTTTTATTTGCATTCATTTAGTTTAAGATGCTTATTTAGGTAGATAATTTGTTCATAGGAGCTTCATAGATATGAACTTTCTTTTATATATAAAATTTGTGTTTTGTTGTATCTTTCTCATAAAGTCTGAGTAGTTTCCTTTATTTTTCTCCCTACTCTGAGATATTGTGAAATGATGAGAAAATATGGATGTGTCAATATTAAAATATAAAATAAATTGTGATCATTTTTCAACTCCGAACTTAATTTACTTTTCGATCTGACCAATTGAATTGTTAAAATGTGTTGTGAAATATATGATCCGAGAAATGGAGTATGAGTTCCACAGTAGAGTGAGGATCACATTTGATTCCATAAA